GACCCATAGCAACCCTGTCTAAGGTTTCCAAGGAGCACCTGGTGAGCTTGAACCACCGACTTTGCAGCTCAAACGACTTTGCAGTCTGACACATTAGCCCACAGCGCCACACCAGGCCTCCTCCCAGAGACTAGGAACAGATAAAGTGTGTCTTTCTGTTCAGGGACAAGATGAGCATGCTGGTGTAGGCCTGGAGTGTGACCAACAAGACAAGCTTTCAAATAAGTGCCACACCAGGACGCCAAGATAAAACTTGGCCTTTCACTACTGTAAGAAAGGCCCTGGGCTAAGAGAAGGTCTAGCCGAAGGAGAGGGCCCCCTTGCTTTTATGCGTTACAGCTCCAAACTGAATTATGGGGGAAAACAACAAAGCATATGGCATAGGATTGCACACAGTATCTTTATTGATACTTTTATCATCACAAAGCATAGGCCCAAATGTTAAGGAACTTCTCATGGATACACAGAGGAAGTTGGGCAGCAAACATGATCACCAAAAGTCATCTACTTCTTCATTAAACATGAGGCCTGGGAGACTAGATTGGGGAAAGACAAAAAGGAAAAACGTTCTTGCCAAGCTTATCTATGACCCTTCAGGATTGTTTCCCACCACCTCCCCTAGCTTACAGTCTGTACCAGGATCAATTTCATAAGTTTCAAACAACACAGTGCATCTTGTTCTTCAGTTGCTCGTTTTGAATGATGTAGTAATTTCCTACATGGAACCTTTAGTATCTGAAAGCTTCCCACAACCAGCAATCGCCAAGAGATCATGTGAGCAATGGCATGTTTGGGAAAACCATACCTGTCCTCTTGGTCACTAGATGGCAGTGTGTCCAACTGGGAGCCTTCTCTGATGATGATCCTCTTGGAGCTCTGATTCAGAGAGAAGGCAGGACAAATGTAATACTAGATAAAGCATTCATTTTATAAAGCACTTTATGACTGACTGCTTGTAAAATGATTTTTTGAACTCTAATTCCACTGAGCCCTGGTGGCACAGTGCTTACACCAACTGAGAGATTGGTGGGCTCAAATCCCCCCAGCAGCTACACGGGAGAACATGGGGGCAGTCTGCTCCCATAAAGATGTAGTCTTGGAAAACCTATGGCCACAGTTGTATACTGCCCTTTATGAGTCGGCACCGACTCAATCAGTAGTGGGCTTGCTTTTCTATGCAAGTTAAGAGTCTAAGAGAAAAACGATTAGTCAACTCTAAATTCGACAAGCACCTTAGACTCAGTTATACAGCACGCGTTCTAAACAGCTACAGAGCTTCCGACTTCCATGAGGCAAGCCTGTCTCACACAGCACTATTGCATTCTTTGATTACGGAGAGATCTGGCTTTTTTGTCCCCATTCTTTAGAGACAACAAGAGACATCTCAACTTTTATAAATCAAAATCAGGACATCTCTTGCCCGAGGAAAAGCTATGAAACTCTGTCCAGAGAGGATTATAGATTTGAAAGACGGGAGGCTCCTGGGAACAGGGATTGTCTAGGATTGTACCTTTCTGTCTTCAGTGGAGCTAGACGAATCCTTGCCCCAGGGTTTAAGCCACCCCACAAGCCACTCCTCCACAGCCCCCAGCCCCTTACCCTGTCTGAGGAGCGCTGCTCTTGGCCCTCCTGGATGACCTTCATGTACTTCTCTAAAGGATTCTCACTGCCAGCAGACTGAGCCGTACTGTCTTGCACACTTGTTTCTAATTCTTCCTGCATTTCAATCTTCAACGATTCCTCAATCATCCTCTATGGGCACCCAAACAGGGAAGAAATAAGACTCATCTGGGGAATGTTTCTGTGTTTAAAAGCACAAAGTAACAAATCCTGATCCTCTAAGTCCAACATGCAGGTCACTGCAACTACCCTCAGGAAGCAAACAAGCCATGGACAGAAGGCAGGTTGGCTCTCCCTAAAGTGTCCTGTGCTTGGGACCCAAATTAATCAGAAGGCCAAGGGGCAGCCACATGGGAGATTAGTGTAAGCCAGACTCGGGAGGCCATGTGTGAAAGTGGCCAGAGGGATCTGTCTGGATCCAGTATTAAGGCGCAGAAGGCAGAGAGAGCACTTGGGGAGAGGCAGGAGCAGGCGGCAGTCCCCTCCTCCGGGTGGTTTTCGTCCTACCTCTCATTCCCACTAGCTGGCCTCGACAGTCTCTTCCTTACACCCCGAGAGAAAGCAAAGAGCGGTGGCAAAGCACAGGCTTACTTTCTTTGCCAGCTTGTTTTAAGGATCAAGTGCAAGTGTGCTTCCAGAAACAACTATAAAGGCTGAAGCAGTTACAGGTGGGCCTTCACAAAGCTGACTGTCTGCCAGGCCTGTAACTCAGGGCACGTGAATGAGCGAGATGAAGGGACTGAAGGCGTAGAAGGCAGAAACTAGACCCAAGAATGAAACCCCACGACTTACCCTTTCTTGATCCAGCTGATCTAGTCCTCTCAGCTGCCTTTCTAAAACTTCACTCTGCCTTCTTGCTTCGTTCTGCCTTGGCTCTCCTGTGCACGCTTCCCACATGCTTGGTTCTTCCTTGGGTTCTCCCATTGGTTTCTGAGCTAAATCTAAATCTAACAGGACAGAAAAGCAAGCATATGCAGCTCTTGGTATCTGACAATTCACACAAATGAGGGCCCCGTGTGCATGGGCCCATGCCAATATCCAGGGATCGTTTGTTGTTGATCCTTCAAGCTGCTGTTCCACTGTCGTTTACTCCTGCTGTTCCACTGTCGTTTACTCCAAGCCCCCCCCCACCCGGCCCCATACTCTGAGCACTGCCCCTGACTTTTTCATTATTGGTATTGAAGCCAGATTGGCTGAAGAATTTCCACCCGACCGAAGTATGGATCTTGAGCTGAACCACAGACCAAAATTACACGTTAAGAGAAAAAAGAGGGCCCTATAAATGAGCCTGCTTCTTTAAACTGAGGTCCCTTGACATTCCAAATTGATATCAGGCACAAAGACCCTCAAAACAGCCAACTGTGAAGCCCCTGCCCGCCCTGCTTTCCCCTGTCAGTCTTGTTACCGATACTCTTCAAGCCACTGCCCTGTACCAGGTCCAGCCTGATTGGAGAACATGCATCCTAAGGACCACTTTGTCCTCTGACCCTGGGACAGCCCAGTCGAAGCCATTTTAGAAGCAAGGGCTCCACCAGTGCCCTCCAGGGCCAATCCGAACCCTGCCCCTCCCTGAATAATGCCAGGGAGCTGTGCACTCCTTGGACCAGTCAATCATCCGAGACCAATAGGGCAGCCTTCGTCCAGGATAAAGCTCAAAAGTCAGGAAGGGCTAAGAGAGAAGCATGAATGGACACGGAAAACACAGGAAAGCATGGTTACACTGTAAAGATTGATGCAAATGTCACAAATCAAACAAAATGTGTATGAATTCTTGAATGGAAAAACCAAACCACTCAAACCATACTCAAAAGTAAAAGAAAAAAGTCAATGAACGATATCTGAGTCATCGATGGATACCAGAGAGTAATTTACAAAACATAACTACTGGTGTTCAAACATTCCAGCTTACCTGGGTAGTGATGGGCGAGGCGCCTGCTGGGCAGGGCATTATCTCCTGCTGGAAGTAGTCCATCCATTTCAGACACCTTTGGCATGTCTTCACCTGCACAGGGGCAAACAAGTGTCCCACAAGTCCTTACTAACAAGGGCCAGAGAAGGGGGTGCTGCCAAGGGTGGGGTGACTGCCCAGCACTTCCGCTTCTGAGGAAGCAACTAGGCAAGCCTTTCAAGTCACAGGAGGCTACGTTTCCAACAGAGTCCTTAGCCGGATTATTTACTTCTCAACATGTCTTCAGACTAGAAGCAATCGGATTCATTTAGAATATTCCATGTTACCCAATGACAGAGCGACATTAACTGGGAGCTGAGAGACATTTGAACTCTATTTCAATAAATATGATTCCTCATAGTTGTCCTCTCATCGGCAAGTGCAAAACAATGGCTCAAGTTTACGAACCCATCTCATTGCAGTGTTCAAAATGTTACAGCCTCAGGCATGACAACAGCGTTTCTGAGGCTAAGGGGCAGGTTGTATGCAAACACACAGACTTCTGGGCTGGAAGGGACCCTGAGGTGATAAGAGTCTACACTGATTTTGATTTTACACTTAAGCCCCGGGTGCCACTTGCGGCTATATTCTTCTCCCTCCTTCCCTCCACAGAAAGCAGGGTTTTCTAAGTCGGAGCAAGTCACATAATTTCAAGAAAAAGCACAAGTTCCTAGTCCATAAAAAGGAACAAAGAAAAATGTCCATTCACTTCTGGTAAGTTCAGACTATCTCTTCAGTCCTGGTGTAGCACTGTTGGGTAAGCACTGGACTGGACTGCTCACCGTGAGGATGGCAGTTCAAACCTACTAACTGCTCCTCAGAGAGTCGCTATGAGTTGGAACCAACTTGACGGCACTTAAAAACAATAGCTACTTTAAAGACTCATTTGTGGGCTTAGCTCTAACTCTAAAATGATTGTTTATCCTATTATTTTTTTAAAAAAACAGCTATTTTCATTAAAAAACAGCTATTGGTCTTTGTGGTTTTATCCCCAAATAAGTCTCCCAACTGTAACTGCTTCCCTTAGAACAACAATGGGTATGTGTTCCCCAAACATTGTCACCTTCTAAACCTGGTCCTGGTGTTTGCGCTTACATTCAAAAGCTGAGTCAACTTCCTCATTATTGTTAGCCGTTAGCTTGTCTGGATTTAACAATTCACTTCTGTCTTGAAGTTCAGCTTGTTTTGGAGAAAGACTGGATTGAAAGAAGAAAATTCTTACTCATGCTGGGAGGTAGGGTCGACTCTTGTTTGTTCACAAAGAACAAGACCACACTTGCGATGCTACTCCTGAGAAGTTATTTTCTCAATAATCACAAACCATTTTTGAGGGAAACAAATTCTGGACTATAGCACCATGAACCAGCCTGCGCTGTGATCCCAGGAGCCTGACTGAGTGCGCGCCTTCCTCACGGCTTTGTTTTCCAAAAATGCGACCGAAACAACTGGGCAATGCTTACAGGCCCAGTATCAGCCCACTCTGTGAGATAGACTGCTACAGCGTGGAGACAGATGCCCACGCAGGCGCCCTGGAGAAGCTCCCACTGAGGTGGGGCTGGGGAGAAGCCCTAACAGGACTCCCATCTCAGTCCAGGCTGGCCCACCAGCATCATTTCTAAAACAACACTTACCCCTGGCTTTGCTAATCCGACCCTGGAGCCCACTAACTCAGAATTTATTTGAAGGCTTTAAACACTGGAACCTTATCTGTTTGTATCAAGATGTGCAAGTACTTAAAATTTTTTGCATTTATCTTTATAAATGCCATCTAGTCACCTAGACACTGAAGAGGCCTATTAAAGCATATGGCAGATTCTAGCCATCAAACTGAGTAAATAAGTAGAAATGATGTGATTAAGGGATCCCCCACCCTCACTCCACCCTCCAAGTAGTTCAGATGATTCTCAAAGATCACAGTTTGTTAGATAATCTCACTGGGAATCACAGAGACCGCATGAGCTTTCCTAGCGCCTACAAGAAAAACACCAAGTAAAGGCCAAGCTGTAGGGAACATGACTCAGTTGAAGCTGGCACAAGGTGACGTTTACCGCGCCTTCTGTTCCGGAGGACTGGAAAGGGACGCGCTGGATACGGTCCCCAGAAAGAGCTCAGCAGGCGAGGTCCGGGGCGTTCTGTCACGACAGGCACTGGGGGAAGCGATGTGGGGTCTGGCCAGACCTAGAGGACAGAAGGTACCAGGGGGAGACTGACAAATTGCCTGGAAAACATACCCACATGGTTTCCAAAGAGCTCTACTGCTTAGAAGATCCTTGCAAACAGCAGAGAAGGAAGCAGAGCTCAGGGCCTGGCCTGACCAGCAGAGGTAAAACAAAAACATAAACTTAACTACCAGCCATCAAAGAAAGGACACTCGCACTCCTGAGGCCCTCTGCCCGCCAAGCACGATGCTAGAATGGGGCTGGCTCTTTTTCCCATGGATACCCACACCAACCCTGTGGAGGAGGGAGAGACCAAGGCTGACCAGGATAACACAGGATCAGAATGCAGACCCAACTGCTCCAGGCCCAGGTCTGACTCCTGCATGGATGTGGGCTTGGCCGCTTCTTCCAATGGCAGAACCCAGGAGGACAGGGGCCATCCAGTGGGAGAATGGGCTGGACAGGCTTTCTGTAGCAGCTTACCTTCCAGGTACATCTCATGGTGGAGGCTCCGCTTTGTCGTAGACAGGGGCGTGGAGGAGAGGCGTCTTGGGGACGCTGCACTGCCAGTCAGCACCTGGGACTCCTCACTCTTTTCCTGGGGCGGCTCAGAAACAATTCTGTCCTCTGCAAATACAGCTCTTTCTGGGGACCTACAAGTGACATGCTTTAAAGTCCCCAGCCATTGCAGGGGCAGCGGGCTCTTGGCTGTTAGCAGGCCTGTGACCGGTTTCTGTGTGACTCTCCGGTGGTAACTTTGGAAAGCTTTTTCCAAGCGCTCGGCCTCTTGCTCTAGCTCTCTGACCCTGGCTTTAGTATTGGCTACAAACTCGAGATCCGAGTCGGGGGAACTGCCATTCGGATTACTGGTGACCCTTGGTGTTACCGCAACTGACAGACTTTTGTCCTGTTCCAGAGGATTCTTCAGGAAATCCCCACTTGTATCACCATCGTGAGGCACCATCCTGCCACCTAAGAATCCACCAATGGTGTGCTCGACCAGAGAGGGCTTTGGGTTGCGGTACACTTCATTCTGTAGCGCTGCAAACGGCAGAGAGACTCTGAGACACCAGGGACAGCCAGAGAGCACAATTCAAATCTACTCACCAGCCAGTTTTCTTTGAAAAATGAAAGTAATAAAAGGACAAGCTTGCACACTGAACTGTCCCTGAGAGTGTGAAAGGAACCCTGGTGGCACAGTGGTTAAGTGCTTGGAAGCTAACTTACAAAAGTTGCAAGTTCAAACCCACCAGCTATTCTGTTACAGAAAGTTGTGGCAATCTGCTTCTGCGAAAACGACAGCCTTGGAAATCCCATGAGGCAGTTCTCCTCTGGCCTGTATGGACCTCATGAGTTGGATTGAACAGCACAGGGTCTGGGGTTTTGGTTTGGACTGAGAGCTTCTGTGGGTAGACACAATTTTGAAGCCCACAAACTTCTAAGCACTGAAGATGTATTTACACTCTCTTAGTCCTGGCATGGAGCTGTGGGTTAATGCGCCAGACTGCAAAGCCGTTTGAATGGCAAGGTTGGCAGTTCAAGCTCACCAGCTGCTCCTTGGAAGCCCTATACAGGGTCGGTATGGGTTGGAACCAACTCGAAGGCACTTGACAACAACAACAGGCAGCAAAGCCTAGCCAGACCCCAACGCGTCTGGCTGAAGGACGTGTCTGCACATAGATGTGTCCACTCTGTCTAAATGACTAGCCACACAGTTGATAGTAAAGGAATTGCTGTGTCAGGCTATAGGAAGCTGCTTCAGGACCCTGGGCTGTGGCAGCATATGGGGGCTGGTTGGAACTCCAGAAAAAGGGCCGGGGCTGTCCTTCCAGCAACAGCACAGCCTGTACAGTCGCTGCTCCCATCGTGCAGATGGAGACTGAGGCCCGCTGAGGCTGGTCACATGGTTAGCACGCTGGAGAGCTACAGAGATTGTGTACTGCTGAGCCAGCGCCCTGCCTGCTCCTCCCCTGTAGTGTGCCCTACAGGCCACGATGTGCTGTCAGGGCAAGGCAGGCTTCTGAGAAGGTTCCAGCCACACTAAACTACTTTCCAAGAGAAGGAGATTGCTATGCTTTCAGCTGCAGGCAGTCTGGCCAAGGGAGAATTGTGAGGAAAAAGAGGAAAAATTGGAAATAAGCTGAGCTACAGAGGAAAAAAAATAGTGCAGGCAGGCAGGAACAAGGGACTGATAAGGAAACAGCACAGATGGAATATGCGCAAGGCTCAGAGAGAAGTGAAACACCGCCAGCTGAACTGGAAACACATGGACCTTTTCTTGGAACTTCAAAGCAGCTAAAAACGAAAAGTTCCCTAAGCTGCGATCTAGGTGTCACAGAGGAGGGGGAGGCAGGGCCAGAGACCACTGCATCTGTCCCAGTAGAGACCACTTTCTGAGGGTCTCTCTTCACAGGAACTAGACGGGACCCAGGTCATTTAATCCTCATTCACCACGATACTGGAAGAAGTTAAGGGAACTTGCCCAAGGCCAAACGACTAACTTTAGAAGTCGGGTCTGTGACTGCTACGCCACATATAAAGAAATATTTAGAAGGTTGGAAGGCTTACAGCTAGGGAAATTCGTAGCAGAAGCAAGAAATCCATTGCTTTCTAATTCAAGATGCTCAGCTGCTCTAGGAGCCGCCATCTTGGGAAGGCCCAAGCAGGGAAAGGATCAGAGTAGCCACGGACGCCTGACAGAACCGCGGAGATAAAGGTGCGGACATTCTTTTCTTTTGGTATCTGTTCATTGGTCCCTTGCTGTCTGTGCACCTCCATTCTGGTGACTATAGGGGTGCCTGAGCTAGTGGACACC